GAGTTCACCATAAGTTAATTAATTGTGCCATAGATGGCTGATACTGCATCCCACTGACGTAAGCAACAAAACTTCTCTTGGTTTTAGCATTGTGCTTTTTGCCAGTCGTCAGCAGAGCCAAAAAGTGAATCAGCTCTTTGGATGCTTACATGTTAAAAAAAAAAAGCAAACCAAACCAAATTCTTCTCTTGATGAACAGAAAAATCTTATTCTGGCCATACCATGCTGCTTGCTGACTTGCTTGTATACTAATAATGTAAAACCAGAACATTCTGTAGTTGTAAAAAAAGACTTTTTTAAAATCATAGGATTAAATCACTAATCACAGGCTGTTAAAGCACAGATTATTAAATCACTGATCACAGATATTTAATCATGTCACATCCTAAACAAAGTAAGTAACACTAAGTTTATATTAAGAAAAGGAGATGTCAAAAAGTTAGCTGTAGGAAAAAGTTGTGAAAAGAACAATAAGGCCATATCAATGTGATGATAAAGTTAAGATTTTCAGTTACGCACAAGACAGCAGGTTCAGGTTTAGCTTTAATTCTGTACCTCTGCATCTCTGTGTCATCACAGAGTACCTAAATATCTCTTATATAGTCTTCAAGCTGTTTTGACACCTGTGCAAAACCAGGCTTGTTTAATGCATTTCTTTCACTGCATCTTTCAGCCATGAGGATATTCTTCCCTGGCTTATCTTTTATCTGCAAATGGGTTTGCTTACTATAACGGTGGGAAATAATTCTCTCTCTGAATTAGAGAAATTTCTTTCTATGGTGCTCATCACAGAATTTATTGCATCGAGCTGTAAACAGGATTTTCTTATCCGTCCTTTCACATGTGGGAAACAACAAGGCCAAACAGTTTTTTGCAAGTGACCACCTTAAATTAACTCAGCCTGAGCACCAATAGCTCTAAACGAATTTCGTCAGATTTCAGTTTGTTTACTGTGGCATGAGGGCTATCCTGCAAGAGTAGAATTCTAGGTCTTTTTTTAAAATTTTATTTTATTTTAAGGCTGATGGACGATTATGGTTTTTACTTAATACCAAGCCAGGCATTGGAACCAGCAATTTAGAAGCAAAGATCTCTCTACATCCTTATAGGTCGCTATGCACCAGGCAAGTAGGCAAGTTGTTTAACGGAAGTCTTGTAAGTCAAGTACATGACAAACTGTTGAACAGGGTTTTTTTTGTTGGGCTTGGGTTTTTTTGGTTTTGGCTCTGCCTGTCTGCACAGCTGCTTTTTTTTTTTTTTTCCTCTTGAATTTACAGCTTCTGTCAGTCCTGTACTTTTAAGAGGCAGTTTAGCTGATTTAGGAAGTGAATCAGTAGATTTAATGGACTATACTGATCTTAATTTAAACAGCTAATTTTCAATATCCTTTGGGCTATTTGACACAAGCGGGAAAAGTGGTATTGGTTTGATCTGATTACATTTCATTGTAGTCTCCAATGATTGACATAGTGCAATTGAACTGGGAGAAAAAGCTTTTTGGTTTTTATACTGCCAGTTCATATGGACTTCAATTTAATAAAAGCTGGAAGTAGTAGTTTGCTGTCCTTATGTGAAGTCTCCATGAAGTTAGTTGGGCAGAGTTCAGGTGGCCATAAAGGTGGCCATAAAGAAAAAAGAAATTAAATAAGAAATTATACGAGGTTCTTGTGCACCCCAGCCTCCTTGCTGATGGGCTAGGGTGACAAGCTGAAAAGGCCCTGACCCTGTGCAAGCACTGCTCAGCAATAAGGAAAACATCCCTTTCAACACAAATCCAAAACAGAGCCCCATACTAGCTACTATGAAGAAAATGAATTCTATCCCAGTCAAAACCAGCATAGGTAGATACTTGTGAAAATAGCTATACAGTAGGAAAGCATTGCAGAACAGATTTTCAGGTCCCCTTTCACTGGTGATACTCCTTCTTGCGCTTATCCCCATGCAACAGGGATCCTCTATTCTTGCAAAACTGATAGCATCAGCTTAGAAAATTGAATTGTCTAATCCTGCTGACTTCTGATGACTGAACAGACACCTGTCCCATAAACAACTAATTTCTGCAGATACTGTCATGTACCAGTAAAGAAGGTGCTTTCTTCTTGAAGTGCAGCTAGGTATCAAAGACAATCTTTATACATGACACAAAATGTTAATGATCTTTATAAATACATGAGAATAAAAATTAAAAATACAGCCTATGTATTAATCTTTATATTTTAAATGATAAAAAATAACTGTCAATAGATCTCATCTGTTATGTAGTTTGAGGAATGCCATTCACTGTACATAAACCTTAGTGGCTTTATTCTGTCAGTATACCACAGTGTGCTTTCTGGGTATCTTTATGCTTCCTGTTGGAGATTCTTATACTGGTTTGTTTAGATTGCATAGCTTTGAAATATTTCCTGTTTTGGACAAACCTTCTCTCTGAAAAGCCTTCGTGAAGTTTCAGTGGCAGATTAATATTTACTTCTGGTAAAGATCTCCAGTATGCATGTCTCTTTTGATAGACTTTATATAGCCTGTCTTTAAATACTACAGGTTTTGTTATATGTATTTTAAATGTTGTTTCTTGTTCAGACTTTGGGAGCTGAACACCTTTGGGAATAGTTCAGATCCTCACAGCTTTGAGGATCTGAGGAGCTTTGTTAAACCTTTGAGTTTAATAAAATCAGCATGCTTCTGTCAAAGCACAAGGTTATTTTCAGTGTAGTTTCTTTGACACTTCCAATAGAATGAGATGATAAATTCTGAGTTTGCAATCAGAGTGTATAGTTGCTGCTGTGTGGAATGACGGATACCTTCCCTCCTTCTCCCTCCTTCCCTGTCAGCTCAGATCCCTTCCAGTTGAAATGAAGTATTGGCTAATCATAAGATGTATAAAGCAGTGAAGACAATTCTTCAGAAAGAAGTGCCAACTCCACTGTATAAAAAATTCAGTTGCTCCTGCTTTGTGAGTCTGCTGTGTTTGTGTGCGTGTTCTCATGTAACTTCTTTTGAATGTTACCTAATTTCTTTTGATATCTGACTAAACTCATTGCAATTTCCTCAATTGTAGAAATGGCAGAAAACTTTTACATAACATGGACTAATAGCAGCAGTTCTATTATAGCTGGTGAATTATTCTGTGACTGTTATTCAAGTCCTTCAGTATTTACCGTTTATTTGGATGATTGATGGTAAGCAAATTAGACCACAGGCTCAAGGCAGGGTTAACTATTTTCTGGTGTATTTTTACAGCATTTGCTGAGATGAGGCCCTGATCATAAACCCGAAGTTTAAATCCCACTGCAGTATGTATCATTAATAGTATGAAGGATTGCTCTGTTTAGTAGCATGTAGAACAGCCCTGGTTCTGGCAGTGGAGCCCCTCCTCAGTCTCCTGTTGGCAGCCGCCCACTGTATCTGATGTACTGTTCCACAGGCTGGTATGTGAGTATTCCCTCTGGCCAGTATTCCCTGTGTCTGCTGGGAGCAGACTTCTAAGTCTCTTCTCTAAGTCTCAGTTTCTAAGGACTGTGGAGATGAAGTATGTTTGTTTTGTTCAATGGCAGCACTTGATAGGTGAGGTCAGGAGAGCTCCTGTCCTTCATTTTTGTGTGTCTCTGAGGCTAGATAAATATGGCAGTCATTAGTTCTCCTGACTGGGGATGATAGGAATAGGCAGTGTGGTAAATAAAATCTAGATAGTTTTTAAGTGTCTGACAATTTGGTCAGTTAGCGTATCTCATCTATGACTTAGAGACTTATCTGTGATGGCTGGGTGCCATGAGAAACTTAGGCAGCAGAAAGCATTGCATACCTGTCTCAAGTTAAACCCACATGAATTGGATTGCCTTGTTACTGTCTTCCTTTGTGCTAGATAATTCAACTTTTCCAGTGTGCTTTGTGCTGACAGGGTATTTGTGCTGACAGGGTACTTCAGGTCGCTAATGGCTAATCTTCTGCTTGAGCTATACCAATGCTCCACTACTTCAGTACATGGCGGACTTGAAGAACAGATCTGGAAAACAAGGTGAGAGAAGAAAGAAGAAGCGAATACAAGATATCTTCAGTCATTCAGATGCTATAATGCTTCCTTATATTTCTCAGTCGATAAGCAGGTGGAGTGATGTAACTGTATTTATGTAACTATATCGATAACTCCTGTATTTTTTTTCCTTGCTGTTCAACTTCTCTTGCAGGGTAGATGAAAGTCCATCAACCCAATACTGATACTGAACGTCTTGTGTAAAAAGAAAACAATTTAGAATAATACTTCAGTTAAATCATGGGCTGTCAATGTCACACTGTTGTTCTTGCTGTTTGTCTGCAGAAGCTGAATAAGACTGAGTTGGATAACTGGGAGAATATCAGAGGACCCCGTCTGGGGGAAGATTCTAGGACTCTTCAGAAGCAACAGCGGGAAGCTCTCCGTTTCAAGACACAGTGACTGAGCAAGCCTACTTTGGTGCCTCTGCAAAAAACCAAACAAACCAACCCAACAAAACAAAAAACAGTCTCAGGCTGGACTGTCTTAGTTTTTAACCCAGTTTCATGAATAGGCATGGGAGGGGGAGATTTCACCAAGCAATTCATGCTGATGTACGTACAGGTAACTCTGAAATCAATCCAAAAGGCACTGTATTATGTGAAACTCTTTGTTTGCATCTGTTTGCACAGAGTTCCATAGGCTGTATATATGAATTCTTAATTAAAAAAGTAGCTGATTATTGTAGTGAGAATGTTCCTTTTTTTTTTCAGTACCTATAGTTCAAAACCATGATGCTTCAGCAAGGAATAACATTTCAGGAGTCACTTGTCAGTACCAGAAGTTATCATCCTGATGAGAACAACAGTGCTGTCATCTAGATACATGTGACCAGATAAATGCTGCTCTAGAGAGCCCCTGCATGACTTCAGGCTGTTAAGCTTGGAAGGGACTTCGCAGGCACATGGGCTGTTCAGAGCAACGAGTCATTTTTGGCTAAAGAGTATTCTTGTATTTCATTTCCAGGAACTTAACCATACAGAGACATATACAGAGTATCAGCTTGTAACTGGTCAAATAACATTTGTTTAGCTGTGGTTAGATTTTTGTGTGATTAGTTTATTGATACCTTGGTGTGGGCAGGATCTTTGCACAGGAACTTCTCAGATGAAGTTGTAAAAATTCTTCCTCAACAAGAACTACGCTGTTTCTCTGTGAGCAAGTATTGTAGCACAATCTTCTTGAACTACTGTATAGTGGCAAAGCTCATCTTACATGTATTATTACATGTATATTTGTGCATGGGCGCATAAATTTTTTATCTTTTGATGAATTCTTCCGAAATGCTTGTCTTTTTGTATTTGAATTAGTGTGCTAAATGTTTGATGTTAGATGACACCATGTTACCATTTAAGACCCTTCTACTGGGACAGTTCAATAAAGAGGCATGTAGTCAGTTTTTCAAATGGAATGAAGCTTTTGATAAGGTGTTAACAAAAGATTTGTAAAACTCCTGTTCAGAGGAATGGAACAGTAGAGCACAGATTCTAGTTTCTAGAATAGAACTAGGATTCTAGTTTCAAAGTGTTCAGTGAAAAATAATGATGAACAAAACACTCACAGAAATATTTTGTATATTTGTAGTAATTTAATGTTCCAAAAAGACTGTTTTGGGAATGGTCATCTTATTTCAGGAAGTCTGGAATACAGTGAGTAATTACTTCTATGGAGAACACTTCTTATGTCATAATTTTGGACCTAGTTTTTGTTGGTTGCTTGCTGGTTGTAGGGTCCCATACCCTCGTTTTTTCATAGGCACTATATTTTCTGTATTTTCTGAGGGCATATTTGTAACTATCTTTGAAGTGGCATCTCTGGAAAGTGATGGATTTATGTTAGCATCTCTGAGAAACACATGCAGTTGGAAAACTTTCCAAGGCAACCCTTTTCTTCAACTTCCCTTGCTTACAAGGGAAGACAGCCCCTATCTATTGATAGTCCACTAAAAAATACTTTATGCTTTTTGGGTTTTTTTAATGCTGTTGACACATTTATGAATTAAAAAACAAACCACAGCCAAACAAAAACCTCCCAACAGCAACTTTTGGCAGGTGCAGAAACTGGTGTTCTCATAAAATGGGGAGAGCTGTTTCAGCAATTTCTCTTTATTACCATGCACTTGGACAATGGCTTCATGTTTTTTGTTGTGGTTTTTTTAGCCAGTGAATTGGAAATAATACTCATGAAAGGCGTGTTGAGAGTCAATTAAAGTCTCTTAAGCTGTCATGCAACCTAAAGTAGAAGGCACTCCAGAAATGTGGAGATTATAGTTCACAACACTAGCAAGAGAGGCAAATTTCAGTTGATTCAGGACTTGCTCTTAGTTTAGCTGCTTATTTGAGCTATCCTTTTGAAAGACGTGTTATAGCACTTCTGGTTATCTCTTAAGGCACCTGGAGACAACCTTGTGGAATTCCTGAATCATTATTCTGAACATCTGTGGTTGGGGGAAGTCAGAGGTAATTAAATAGAAGTGTTAGTCTGAGACACTGATTGACATTTTTTCATCCTCTTTGGTAACTGGCGTATACCAGTCTGAGGGGAATGAAGCAAAGCTTTAATGAGAGGTATGAAGTATTTAAGGGCTAAAAGAGAGGACTGAAGAAGCCAGATCTTCTGATTATTGTTGCTGAAATCAGAAATGAAAGAAGGAAATCTGGCTGTGTGTCTGTGTGTATGTGGACTGAAACATCAGTTTCAAAATCCTTGTTTTGACAATACAGGATAAATATTCTTCAAAGAAACTGGCAAGGTTGGTCTCAAGGTTTGTCTCTGGGATCCTCCATAACAAGAAAAGCAGAAGGACATAGAAGTGGAGGGAAACTGGGGCACCTGTCCCTAAGGGTAGGGAGAGCTCAGTGTAACACCAGTGGGAATCTGGCTGGATGGTTCCCAGCAGCAGCTACCTGTAGCCCAAAATGCTAACCAGATTTCTGTATGGGATCAGCCCTGTGGATCCTGCTTATTGAGCATGTTTCTCCTGGAGCACTCTCAATTTGCAGACTTCATGAATGCCTCAAATGAGAAAATGCCGAATATCTTAGTTCAGCTGTAACACAGGTGAAGGAGACACTCAGTGAAAGCTGTAACTACTGTGATCCAAAAAAGGCTTCAAAACCTACTTAATAGTATAGCAGTTGAATTTCAAAGCTCCTAAATACACCTGGATAACGAGCTGGATGTTAAAAACTTTTAGAATCAAGATGCAAGAACAATCTTGCCAATAGTGATCCTCCAAGGTCTTGAAAATAGCTCCAGCTGCCCAAAAAATGAAGGTTATGGCTTAAAAAGAGATGAGTGATGGGATTTTTAGACCAGAATAAAGAATGCAGAAACTTCTGAATTACAACTTAAACATACCCCATCATCAGCTGGGTACAGTCCCAAAAAGGTCCCATTTCATCACAGAGAAACAGCAATGTGGAGTGATTTAAAGGTCACTGTTCATTGGATGTTCTACGTGGACACTTCAGCTGTATGTGCATGTGTATAGGTGAAACTTAAAACAGTAGGTTTCACCTTCAGAAATAACTGCATAGACCCTTGTACTTCTTGATGATCTTGCATTTGCTCTGAGTTGCTATGTTTGAATTTCCAGCACAAGTCCAGGGCAAGTTTCATTTTTATACCTTGTATTTTCTGGAGGCTTTTCTTTCTGCAAGAAATGGGAAAGCCTAATATTATCCTTTGCTACTAACTTCTTCATGTCCACTGGAAAAAACAAAAAAAGAACAAAGAAACAGGGAAAAGAAGGGAATGATCTGAAGTCTTAGGGAAAGCAGAGTAACTATTTTTACATGAATATGGTCAAAGAATTTTCTGTAAACTTTGATGGCTAGAAAGGCTGCTTTTTGTCAGTGTTTTCAGTGGAAAACTTCTTTTCATCCTTCAGTGGAGTAAGATTCACAGAAAAAATTTCCACTCTGTTTTAGACTGGTGAACTAGAAGGTTTTAATCAAAGGAAGGTAATTTGCTCACTGTTAGGCCTTCTTTTCCTACAAGGACTTGCAGCCAGACTCAGCCAACATACAAACAGTTTCTAGACTTAGGAACAAAAACTCCATGCAGATGTTTTCCTTAAAGTTGTCCTCACCCCAGGAGCCCAAAGCAGTCCTTCTTACCACTGGAATCAGGCGGACTGTATTTTCTTGTCCAATGTGTACTTTAACTGCATGTTTAACTGTCTTGCTTAACACAGACCAGCAATTGAAGTTTCACCCTCACCATCTCCATGTGGTTTGGGAGGTGTGTTGAAATAAAATTCAACCAAAGCAGAAAGGACATGTGAAAAATGGTTATACATTGCAAATGTGCAAAGGGAAGTAGTATATGTATCATAGACACAGGTCATTTGAGAAAGAAAAAAAAAAAAACCCAAAAACCAGAAATGAGGGAGTACTGTGTATTGCCAGTGCCTCTGTGGACGAAATTTATGCACTTCCACACAGCACACTTGGAGTTTGGCTTGATGCACTTCAGTTGATGGAAAAAATGACCATACTTATTTAGGATGTCTGTTTCAAGGTAGTTGATGAGATCCTTGATGTTCAGTACTAACTCCACTGTGGGTGCTCAGTACCAAATCCATTATGGTGTCAATCTCAAGGAGGCCCAGTGGCTCCCAGGAGTATGGCTTAGTCCCAGGCAGGATCAGGGGTAAACTCATCTCTCTGCCCTACAAATCATTCTCCCTCCTCTTTTCTGTCTTGTTTTTCAGTGTTTCTCCTGAAAAGTAATGCTCTGTCTCTGAGCTGCTGTTTGTAATGGAGCTGGCTGTAAAATGTCACCCTCTTTTTAAAAAAAGTTCATTTTTTAATGTCTGCCTGCCAAGAATTGTAGAACAGTAGTTTCTAAATTAATTTGAAGATCTCCTGTAAAATGTAAGCTCAGAAACATGGACCCAGTATTAGATCCCCTTAAGTTTGGCACCCAGCATATACTGGGTCTCTTTTTATCTTTAGATATATAATGTTGTGCTCTCTATTTTATGTACAAAGGAAATTAAATATACTTTTTTCTTTAAAAGATGAGCTCTTCATCCATCACCAGCTGTCAGTTCCTAATAAGGTTGCCCAGAGAAGTGTTATTTGTGATTTAGTGGCTTTGTTGGACTATCTTTTGTTGAACAGAGGACAGCAGAATAAAATTTCAGCTTAATATAGCTCTTTTCATACTCCTGAATAAACAGAGAAAAAGAAGAGAGCAAGAGCAAAGAATCTTGCATTCCAGACTCAAGTTTCTTCTGTTCTGCAATAGATGGGGCATTTTAAGAAAGAAATATAAGGAAAATGAACGTGAAAAAACGAAATAAAAGAACAGAAGATGTGGAAAGAAAAAAGCTTAGGGACAAAACCAGTAGTATAAAACAGTGTGTGCTTTCTCACTGGTCCCTCTGGATTGAG